TTGGTCTCCTGGGATCTGCTACTCTGTGCTGCACGCTGGGTTCTGCTCCACCATCTTCACTCCTGACATCATTGGAAGAGGTTTCTTCCTGATTCAGACAGCAGGGTCCCTGATGAAGGTCTGCCAGGTCTGCTCTCCCATGACTACTGTATTGCAGCTGATGTGTCCTGGAATAGCTAACATACATATCTCAGGGTGATTCAGGAGTGAAAGTGACGTCATTCTTGCCTGGGTGAAAAAGGAGGTGTGGGCGTGCTGGAGCTAAAATAAGAGAAAAGGTAAACAAACAAAAAAAGCATTGTAGATTGCAGGTGTGAGGGCTATGAGGATTTTAATAAAGGAAGGTTCAAGGCTCAGTTCACACTTAAGCAATTTAAGAAGTGCTTGAATGCTAAACATGAGGATTCCCATTTTGTCCTATGGTTCCTGTTCACACCTAGGTTCAAGTGTCGACCTACCCTAATAATATAATAGAACTAAAGGCAGTACTCTTTTTTTCATTTTGAATAGGGTAAGTGTGGGTTATGACCCTCTGCAATTTTATTTATGTATTTCTTTAGCCATCTGTGTCCAATTGTTGAGATTTCCCTTCCCTTCCACTTCCTGTTCCATAGCCAAAACAGAAAATGACAAGAAATCCCTCCACAGTGGGAGAATGCCTTGTCACCAGGATCACTGAAACTAGTGTCCACACTGATGATTTCTCCCTTATACCAGGATTTACAATGTCACTCATCTATTTCTATGAACCCTGCCATTCAGACATCTCACTAGTCAGCTTTCCACTGCAGACTTACAATGGCTTTTCTATGGATCCTTTTTCTCAACAGACTTGCGTTACATTGATGTGCATTTATGTTCATTGTGTTGCATTAAAAGTCATGCATGTAGCATTTTAACCACTTGCCCACCACCCTATAGTAAAACTACTACTACAGGGTGGCAGGGCTGCGCAAAATCACATATATATACGTGATTTGCATTTCCGGGTAGGGGCCACGCACATGAGCGTGGCCATTGGTGGCTTCAGCCCGGCCGGAGATCCACCACCGGCACCTGGTGATCGGGATCATTTACACTGACAGTGGAGAGACCTGTGTATAAAAAAAAAACACAGGTCTCTCTATTGTCAACAAGAACATGCAGCTGTGTATTTCTCTGCACAGCAGAGAAATACACAGCAGCATGTTTCCCTAGTAAAAACACACACAGAACATCATGGAAAACAGCACAGTTAATCCTTTGCCCCAGAAGTTTAACCCTTTCCTGCTCGGTGTCATTAGTATAGTGTCAGTTCTGTTTATTAGCACTGATCATGGTATTAGTGTCATTGGGATGTCAGTGGCAGTCAGTTCCCACCCAGTGTCAGAATGCCAGCTGCAGTGCTGCTACAAGTCGCTGATCGCTGATTACTAGCATAGAAATTTTTTTAAATTCCAATATATATACACTGCCATTTGTAAACGCTATAACTTTCATGTAAACCAATTAATTTACACGTATTGGGATTTTTTTTAGCAAAGACATTAGCAGAATATATTTTGGCCTAAGTTTATTACGAAATTTGATTTTTTAAAATTTTTTTACTGGATATTTTTTTTAGGAAAAAGTCAAAAATATTTTTTTTTTTCAAAATTGTTAGTCCTTTTTTTGTTTATAGTGTGTTGGATTTTTAGACACATATAATACTTCTTCTAGTGTCTTGAGGCGATTATGAATGAAAGAGCCATTGAAATAAAAAATGAAGTGTGATTTTATTCTATCACACAATGGTGTCAAATAACAATGTAAAGCGTATTATGAACAGTTCCATGTAGATAAAACTACTGTAAAAATGACAAGCGAAAGTTCAAAGAAAGAGTCACCATTATCTGTCATGGCTGTCCTTGCCATGTGCGATACTCCATGTCCTTGTCCGTCTCAATGACTTTGTGAAGAAGGAAAAGCCGGATGTGACTATATTGTAGCCGGAAGTGATCTCAGTATGCACCTGTTGCAGCTTCTCAGACGTGTGTATGCAAGAGTTATGTAGCTTGTAAGTGTGTGTGAGTGAGTGACTCTCATGTCCGTTGTCTCATGGACTTTTAAGAGGCAAATGTACGTCATAGTTAGTGATCTTAATACCTTCTATGGAAATTATTACTGCTTAGCAAAGCCATTTCATATAAGGAAAGGATGCTATACATATGATGTTTGATGGACAGGAACATATGAATGCTGATGTAAATAATATTATAAGCTAATGACGTAAAGAATAATATAGCTTAAGAACATATCAATGTATAATCACTAAACTATATATGTATCAATGTTAGAGACGTATACTAAATACACACAGATTATTATTAAAAATACATAATGTAATAGTAAGTCACTTCTAATAACCTTGACATAACTACCAGATACTTTTAACCAACTATATCTAAATATAGTATACTCAACCTAACTTGTATATCTTTTGGTCTCAGCTATAATTGAAGAATAGTAAATACTACCATTTGTCAATAGACCACTTACACATATTAATATTAATTATGACTAATCATAAAAACCAAATATTTTGCAAGCTTGCCATCAATATAAGTGCCGAATCATAATTTAGATTTAACATAGTGCAAAAAATTTAAAACACACAGGTGACAAAATACTACTGAAAGAAAAGCTCTATTTGTGGGAAAAAAGGACATACATTTATGTACATCGTTGCATGACAAAGTAACGCAGCGCCGTATCGCAAAACAAATGTCCTGGTCAGGAAGGGGGGTAAATCCTCTGGAGGGCAAGTGGCATAGGCCAGGCCAGTTGATTGGTGTCCGAAATGGAGAAAAAGTACACCGAGACCAAGGAAGGCGGCACCATTATTAAAGTGGTTGTAAAGGCTCAAGTTGTTTTACTTTCAAGCACTCTATGCATGAAGGTAAAAAACCTTCTGAACTCCTCCCTGTGTCTTAGAAGTCAGCTGCTGAACCCCTCCCTGTGTCTTAGAAGTCAGCTGCTGAACTCTTCCGTGTCTTAGAAGTCAGCTGCTGAACTCTTCCGTGTCTTAGAAGTCAGCTGCTGAACTCTTCCGTGTCTTAGAAGCAGCTGCTGAACTCCTCCGTGTCTTAGAAGTCAGCTGCTGAAATCCTCCTTGTGTCTTAGAAGTCAGCTACTGAACTCCTCTGTGTCTTAGAAGTCAGCTGCTGAACTCCTCCCCGTGTCTTAGAAGTCAGCTGCTGAACTCCTCCCCGTGTCTTAGAAGTCAGCTGCTGAACTCCTCCTCCGTGTCTTAAAAGTCAGCTGCTGAACTCCTCCGTGTCTTAGAAGTCAGCTGCTGAACTCCTTCCCTGTGTCTTAGAAGTCAGCTGCTGAAATCCTCCTGTGTCTTAGAAGTCAGCTACTGAACTCCCCGTGTCTTTCAGAAGTCAGCTGCTGAACTCCTCCCCGTGTCTTAGAAGTCAGCTGCTGAACTCCTCCTTGTGTCTTAGAAGTCAGCTGCTGAACTCCTCCGTGTCTTAAAAGTCAGCTGCTGAACTCCTACCTGTGTCTTACTGGTTTCACAACCTAAGGGCTGTCCAGGAAGTAATGTGGACATTTTCCATACTACAAACTGGAGGCTCAGGTAAGGGCTGGTGTAGTAAAAACTAGGTTTTTTTTCTTTTTTGCAAAAGTACATCAATGCTATATTGGTACATAGGGAAGCTGGAATTTAGAAAAAAAAGGTGAACTTGTCCTTTAACAATGTTGGAGGTCCGTTAACACATTCCTGTACTTGAGAGGGCACCTTGGTCAGGTACATTACCAGAACATAATCTGATAAAGGGGTAGCAGGCAGGCAGTACAGCGGTTCAGGTGCCTTTAGTAATCAGGAAGGCAGGTCCTCATCCCACCTCTCTAGGATTCCTAGATGGTGGAGCCAGGCGTACTGTCCCTGCATTGTCCCAACCCCTCCCTAGCATCAACTGCACTGTCCCTAGCTCAGTGTTTCTCAACTCCAGTCCTCATGGACCCCCCAACAGGTCATGTTTTCAGGATTTCCCTCAGATGAAACAGCTGTGGTAATTACTAAGGCAGTGAAACTGATCAAATCACCTGTGCAAAATAATGGAAATCCTGAAAACATGACCTGTTGGGGGTCCATGAGGACTGGAGTTGAGAAACACTGCCCTAGCTGGAGGGAAACATGCCCCCACACACCCCACTTTGCAAATACTGGCCAACTGCAGTGGGACAGTGCTAATTACCATCACCCTCAGTAAAGGTGGCTGCTGTGTCCAATCAGAACGCTGCTCCCACCCACAGAGCTTCCAGAGGGACAAAGCTCCTCTCAGCCTCCATTACTCTCTGCACAGTGCCACCTACTGCGGGGAGGATAAGCTGCACCTGCCTACAGGTATTTTGGTTTGAACAGGACACATAGAAAACAACTTGTCCTCGCAGTGACCGGCATTCTTCCTTGTCACTGCAGTATGTGTGAACAGGGCTTTACGTTTCTGGGAATTTTCTTGCTGTGCCACAAATGTAGACATTTTCCACAGCTGCTTTCTAATAGAAGACACTTGTAAACGTTTCCTAAACATGCCTTTTCTAAGCCCACCGTCCACTTAATACCCCAGGCCCGGTGAACACAAACGGTGTCCACGTCCAACTACAGAGGTTACCATGGCTAGGCATGTTACAAATCACGGAAACACCACAGCTTGTACCGCCCAGTTCCAGCATCTGCTCTCTCTATGATTGGCTCGGGCGCGCTGATCCTGCATATACAGGGCGGGATAAAAGAGTTGACAATGAGCGACTGGCTAAAGGGGGATGCTATTGCCCAATGGAGGGAAGCGTAGGCGTGGCCGTGTGTATTTCCTAATAATGACTTCCTGCTTTGGCAGGCGTCCTCCTCTAGCCTTGTAGCGTGCTTCCTGTCATACAATCCTTAGCGTGGTGATTGCCAAGGTAGCCGATTGTTTACAGTGTGCGATGTCATGAGAGGAGCGATTATTGATCATGATGACTTTGTTTTGCAGATGAGCCGCTGGGACCCGGCCGTGGTGGTCCCTGTGTGTGGGACGGGGGTCCTGGTGTCCTCTGTGACTCTGGAGGTGTTGTATGTCCTCCTGGCTAATCCCAGCTCTGCTCAGGTCCCTCTTCTCCTTCTCTCCTCCTACCTGCTGTTCAATGTGCTGGGGAACATGCTGAAGTTTGTCTGGACTAATTCCAGCATCGCGGGTGTCTTCCTGGAACATGACAACGTGGGCCAAGGATGGCTGTAAGTGTCACCTCTGTTGTCTCATATTTACAGAATGCTGAATTCATTTTCATCTGTATTGCTAACCGCTACCTGATAGCTGTACACTGCCATTCATTTCCTGACTTGATCTGCAAGCTGCTAGATTTCCTGATTTAGTGTCACTAGAGGCAAAACCTTTTTTCCTTTTGTTTTAGTTTGTATAGAGTGGATTAGGATCCCTGTTGAGTTTGTATTATTATTACATCGAGTTTATATAGCACCAAAGGGTTTGCTCAGCGCTGTACAATAGAGGGGGGGGGGGGGGGGGGGCAATACATGAAACAGTACAGCAACAACAAACAGCACACGAGGGGTTAGAGGGCCCTACTCTTTCGAGCTTACAATCTAGGAGGGAGGGGGGGTAGTGGTACAGGAGGAAGTGGCTGTGGGGGATGGAGTGGTAGGAGGAATGAAGGAGAACGGCTGTTAGGTGAGGGTGGGGTAGGCTTCCCTGAAGAGGTGGGTTTTCAGGGAGCGCCTGAAGGTGAGGAGGGAAGGTGACAGTCTGATGGATTGGGGTAGTGAGTTCCAGAGGATGGGGGGAGGACCTGGAGAAGTCTTGCAGTCGTGCGTGGGAGGAGGAGATCAGGGAGCAAGATACAAGGAGGTCCTGTGAAGAGCGAAGGGTACGGGTAGGGTGGTACCTGGGAATCAGGTCGGTGAGGTAGTTAGGGGCAGTGTTGTGTGGCTTTGTAGGTCAGAGTGAGTAGTTTGAATTTGATGCGTTGGGCGATAGGGAGCCAGTGGAGGGATAGGCAGAGGGGGGTGGCAGAGGTGGAGCGGTTGGTGAGGTGGATGAGTCTAGCCGCTGAGTTCAGGATGGCCTGAAGCGGGGAGAGCCTGTACTGGGGTAGGCCGATGAGAAGGGAGTTGCAGTAGTTAAGGCGTGAGATAATCAGGCAGTGTACGAGTAGTTTAGTGGTGTCTGGGGTAAGAAAGGAGCGTATCTTGGCGATGTTGCGAAGGTGGAGCCTGCATGTGTTTGTAAGTGATTTGACATGAGGTTGGAAGGAAAGGTTTGAGTCCAGAATGACGCCAAGGACTTTGGCTTGCGGGGCGGGATTGATGGTGGTGTTGTTGGTAGTGATGGATAGGATTGGGGGGGGGGGCGCGGGCAGGGTGAAAGACGAGAAGCTCGGTTTTGGAGAGGTTAAGCTTGAGGAAATGGAGCGACATCCAGTCAGAGATGTCGTTTAGGAGGTGAGTGATGTGTGCGGAGAATGTGGGGGTCAGGTGAGGGGTGGAGAGGTAAATTTGAGTGTGATCAGCGTAGAAGTTAGTTGAAGCCGTGGGAGTGTATGAGTTTGCCAAGGGAGGAGGTGTAGATGGAGAAGAGAAGGGGTCCAAGGATAGAGCCCTGGGGGACCCCAACTGAGAGGGGGAGGGAATGGGAGGTGGCACCTGTCTGTCCCTGTTACAGAGATTCATGTGATCTGTTTACCGATTTTGAAAGCAAATGAAAATCCCAAATGTTGGGTTGTCTCCAGAACAGGAATAAAGGGGAAATCTTCCTACAGGACACTAGTTCTAGTAACAACCAGGGATTCCCTCACTTTAGCGGGATTTCCTCTCACTTCCTGTTTTGGCTGTGGGACAGGAAGTGAAGGGAAATCCCCCCCCTTTAAATGGGGGGGGGGGGGGGGAACTGACTGGGGTTATAACTTTAATCAGTTCCCGACCCGCTATAGCCAAAACATGGCTACAGCGCAGTCGGTTAGTTCTGAGAGGGCGTCCACGGATGTCTTCCCAGAACCAATCCCTCCACATGGCATCTGTGATCACTGTGTCCAATCACAGCTGATCATAGGGTAAATAGGAAATGCCGGTTATCAGCAGTTCTCTCCTCACGCTGACAGCACGAGGGGAGAGCCGGTAAACGGCATTTCACAGGGGGACATCTACACTGATCATTGTGGCCAATAATGCCCATGTGTGCTGGCAATCAGTGCCGCCCATCAGTGACTCCTCATCAGTGAAGGTGAAAAATTACTTATTTACAAAACTTTGTAACAGAAACAAAGAAACTTTTTTTTTTTTTTTTTTTTTTCAAAATATTTGGTCTGTTTTTTGTTTGTTTAGCAAAAGATAAAAACCCCAGTGATGTTTAAATACCACAAAAAAAAGCTCTATTTGTTTAAAAAAAAAATGATAAAAATTTAGTTGGGGTACAGTGTTGCATCACCTCACAATTGTCATTCAAAGTATGAGAGCGCTGAAAACTGAAAATTGGTCTGGGCACAAGGGGGTAAAAGTGCCCAGTAGGCAAGTGGTTAAGGAGGCCATATGTGGGTCAATAATGGTTGGTTCAGCAGGAACTGGACGAATTTCAGTCCATGTATTGGCAGGCTGGTTGTACAGATGAAGATCTAGCAATTGACTTGTGGACAACCAGACTTCTGTAGGTTTTTTTCCCAAATGATCAGTGCTACCACTGATCAGTTTGTTCCGATGGCAGGAAAGTCTTCCCCTGTCAGAATACTATAGCACAGTAGGAGTGATTCTCCCATTCACCTTGAATGTGATCTTTTTTTTTTTTTTTTTTTTTTTTTTTTTTTTTTCGTTGGGATGGGGGGGGGGGGGGGGGAAAAAAAAAAAAAAAGGGGTCAAAGGATGGCCTGCCTTATTCTCTCAAATCTATATAAAAAAAGTTTTGCCTATACAAGCTGTGCCCGGGTTACAAACAAGATAGGTTCTGTAGGTTATAAGTAAGTAGTGAGTGCACAAGCAAAAAAAGCAGCAGCTGGCACAAAAAGGATAAATCACTATATCCTCAAACAGATGAATAGAAAGAAAAGAAAGTGCAGCGCTAATAAAAACTACAATAATTGTCATAAATACAATTCCATAGCAAATAAATGCATAAATCAAATCACAGGTGACTGTGAATATGCACAAAAGTATTATCAGTGAAGCGCCCTGGAGTAGGGCTGTAGTGAACAAATAATATATAACAGTGCCATGCTGAAATGACAGCGCCAAAAGGTGACAAATAAACAAGTGATGAATGGGTGAACAATCCAATAAATATAATGTATGAAATGCAATAAATAAAATATTCCAAATAATTCCAAGAGAAATGATCGTGATGTCAAGTGAAGCGTGAATCCGTGATAAATCCTTCTGTATAATGCACTCACCATAAACACATATGGTATTGGCATAGAAATAAAAGGACTATAGCTCCTCCAACAGGTCAGCCTCATGCACCTTCATACACAGTATAGGGAAAACCACAGCAGGTATATACCAGAGCAGGAACTATATCCAGTAAAATGTTCCACTTTCAGCACACCAAAAGAGCTCCACCGTGAAGGGAATAGCTCAAAAAACGAGCCCAGAAAGGAAAGTGCTAATGGTGTAGTATTTTACTGAAAATTCAGAAGCATCCACATGGAGCAATAAAAAAAAAAAGTGTGTTCCACTTACAAAGATGGCCGCCGGACCTTCGTGAGGACGCGGCGGCGTGACGTCAGTATGCAGGCTCATCCCTTTTTTTCTTTTTCGTTGGGGAAAAAAAAGGGTCGAAGGATGGCCTGCCTTATTCTATCCACAATATATAAAAAAGTTTTGCCTATACAGGCTGTCCCCAGGTTACAAACAAGATAGTGTCTGTAGGTTTGTTCTTAAATTGAATTTGTATGTGAATTGGAACATTTTTTTTTTAAGTGTAACTCCAGTCAAAAGATTATTTTTAACTCCAAAGACATGCTGGTAGGTTCATTGGATCCTGTCTAAATTGGCCCTAGTATGTATGTATGAATGTAAGTTAGGGACCTTATATTGTATGTCCCTTGAGGGTTAGGAACTTACATGAATGTACAATATATATGTAAAGCGCTGCATAAATTGATGGCGCTATACAAGTATCTGAAATTAATAATAAATAATGTTTTGGATAGCACAGGGAAGGGTTAACTGGCCATGCAGTAATGTGGGATTGCTGACCAGTCCATCGGACAGTAGGTGGCAGATGTTTGTAACTTGGAGACTGCCTGTAGTTCTATTTTAAGATGTATGTATAGCAAAAACCTTTTTAGTTTTGGGTTGAGTAGGATAAAGTGGCAGAAAAAAGAGATTTATGTATTTATTTTTTGCGGTCATTGAAGGTAAAATTTCTCTTCACTTACTGTCCCAAAGACTTAAAAGGAAATTTAGAAGAATCTAATGTCAGGGAAATTCCACTCCTAAAGTGGTAGTAAAACCCTTTTTATTTAAAAAAAAAAAAAAAAAAAAAATCTTCCATCTATACCCAGTCTTTCTTCTGGGTTCGCAGGCTCTGGCCATTTCAATGACTTCACTCCCACGCTTGTGCACAGGAGACACAGTGGTGGCACAGTGCTCTGAAGGGACAGCATACATAAAATTTCCTTCCTGCATCTACATTCCCTGATTACTGCTGTTGAAAATGAACGTTAGATTGACCCCACTAATGGTTAGAATATTTTTCAATATTCTACTAGTGTATTGCCAGTTTTAGACCCTTATCCCTAGAACAGGTGTCCCCACTGGAAAATTTCCTTTCAATTTATTTCTCCTTGACGGCGGTCACCAGTACAAATAGGGTAAATCTCCCCAGCTGGGACACTCATAGCCACAACTTGACAGAGGGTCTAATCCTTCCCCACTCAATCCAAAAGTTAAAAAAGGGTTGCTTAGAGATACACATAAGGGCTCATGTACATGACCTTGAGAAGACGTAATTCTCACAGGTGCAGATTACAGCCAAATGCGTATCAAAATCAGCGGCAAGCTGAAATAAGCAGTGGCTGTAGGCTGATATAGCCACGCCCGATCGTTGCTTGTGTATAGGGAAATATGCCCACAGACAGTCTGTGAAAAAGAGTAAAGCAACAAAGTTTTACTTTCCCCACCTGTCTAGAGTTGGCGCACTGTTCTTACTCCCCGCAAGCGCTGGCCACACTCCTTTTACGTATGGTATAAAAGCAGAACATGAAGGGCTTGTTCAGCCATAACTCTTAAACACATGCTTAATGCACTCAGCAATACAGCACAGAGTCTGCATACTGACATTCCTTTTTCCTGCTGCCTCTGCACACAGCTACCTACTGTAGTATTATGATTCATTATGAGAGGCAGTTGGTAATGACCATGTGCTGCGGATTGCTGAAAGCATCTGCGCACACGCTGACATGCTCCAAACGCACACTACCTGCGTTTGGAGCATACATCAGTGCACAAGCAAGTGCTTTATGCATCCCTTGGCGCACAACCTAGTGCAGCTGCCCATTTAAATGCATTTCAATGAGCAGCTGTACGTAGTGGTAGTGGGACCTAGGAATGTCAGTACACAGGCTTTACATGCTTTAAAGCCACTGTACGGCTGTGCACATGATGCCTAAAAAGGGTTCACATTTTTAAAATTGTCTGTCTTTTGCTAACATACCTGTAGGCCATTTTCGAAATGACCGAAGCCAAGGAGGGAACGTTTGTCCTTTTCCCCAAGGGCTGCACATGTGCAGTGAACTCTCTTCTGTTGGCTTGGATTAGTTCAACAACTGCGAAAGGGAAGTGCACTATGTGACTATGAGAGAGGGCTCTATAGTAAGTGTGGAGGCCACTAGTCTGATCTATTCTTCTGAAAATGCTGGTGCCCTGGATGTTGTGTTCATTCGATGCTTGCAGTACATTCTCAGTCAATATTTCCAAAGTATGAAACTTTGGAGTTTTGATTTTTATGCTGCACATGATTATTTTAGGTCAGTGTCTCAGAGTACTGAAGCCAGAGAGAACCAGGCAACTGACATTTTCAAAAGGAGGTCATCAATAGTAAGCCCATATTTCTTGCAGTGTGGGTTTCTTGTAATTAGACTAGTTACAGAAGAAGACCTTTTTAAGCTCTTTATTAAACTGTTGTTTGTGCAGATATCACCGTAATGATTCTGACTTATTTGTGTCTAACCACATCCAAATCAAAATCTGTCAAGTTGTGAATTGGACTTATTTATTTTATTTATTTATTTTTAGATACTGCTATACCTGCCAGACACATATACCACCAAGATGTCATCACTGCTATACCTGCAATGTATGTGTCCTTCAGCGTGATCACCACTGCACATTACTTGGAAAGTGTGTTGGCTTCTCCAGCTACAGATATTTCCTCTGTACTCTGTTTCATGGGTGGTTGGCACTACTTCTTGCCACCATACTTAATGCTGATGTGTTTATAGATCTTCTCCACGAGGGATTCAGCTTTCACAGCTTCTTTCTGCTTCTTATGCCTTGGATGATGTTGATTTTAGGTAAATACAGCCTTTTTTTTTTTTTTTTTTTATTATATTTATAACCCATTGTAACTAAAGAGTAAGCTTTTTGGCTGAAACTCATAGGCCTCGGACAGCTGAGGAGGATGGTAAAAACAGACAGTTGAGTCATGGTTTCACTCCTACCTAAAAGCTGTCCCAATCTTACAAATGCCGGGCCATGATGCTTTTTTATAGCTGTGGCAAAAACTTAAAAAAAAAAAAAAAACATTCAGGAGTTGACCGCATCATCTGCTAATGCCTGACAGTAGCTACTTTACTGCCCTCTGAAAAGCGATCCGCAGCAAATATTTTTTTCTGAGGGATAGCAGAGACTGCCATAGATGTGAACAAAGCATGAGCAAACAAATGCTGTAAATCCTGAGCTGGACGATGAGCTCCACAATGTCAGTAACCCCACATGGAGTAAGTTTTGGCAATGGAAGCCTTGCTGCCCTCAACAGACCAGGGAAATCCAAAGGAGCTGTGTGCAAAGAAACAGAGGGCGCAAAGGGCTACTGCATTACCTTCTAAAAATGAGATTTATTGAATAAAAAAGTAGTATACTCACAAAAGAAAATCAAAAGGCACATCACAAAAAAAAGACAGCATGGTTCAATCTCCCTAGATTGTGGCTGTTGGGGGACTGTAGGCCTCCAAATGGCTGACGCTGGCTCTGAGGAAGAGGTTCTGTCTCGAAACGCATCAGCCATTTTGAGGCCTGCAGTTCAACAGCCACCATCTAGAGAGATTGGACCATGCTGTCTTTTTTTGTGATGTGCCTTTTGATTTTCTTTTGTGAGTATACTACTTTTTATTCAATAAATATCATTTTTAGAAGGTAATGCACTAGCCCTTTGCGCCCTCTGTTTGTTTGTTTCTTTGCACACAGCTCCTTTTTTTGGATTTCCCTGGTCTGAGGGCAGCAAGGCTTGCATTCCCAAAAAGTACTCCCATGTGGGGTTACTGACATTGTGGAGCTCATCGTCCAGCTCAGGATTTACAGCATTTGTTTGCTCATACTTTTGTTCACACCTAAGGCAGTTTTTTTTTTTTTTTTTTTTTTTTTTTTTTTTTCCAGTTACTTCCTGGTTTCCAGGCCTAAGCAAATTATGTCATACAAAATCATCTGCCCTTACGTAAGATGACCACAGCCAGAAATGGTAGAGGGGGGGTGTTTTTAAAACTGAGTTGTCAATAAAATAAAGCATGGAGACATTTGTGAGTGGGGGAGTTTGCTTTGAATATGCAGTGTAGTTCCAATTTAAAGTGCACAGGCAGATCTCTGGTTTACCATGACCAACAACTAGGTCCTTAGCATAGAATCTTTTAAAAGCAAATACTACTGATATAATGTTTTACAAGTCCAGAAACCATTTAATAGTTGTATATTCAGAATATCTGGTTGTTGGCCTGCATTATTTTTTGTTGATTTTAGAACAGGCATAGAGATGATACGGGAGTTAAAAAATCTTCTTTTCAGTTTTCTTCTTTCCAGTTACGGCACGCTTTAAAATTCTGCGAGGCACCCATTACAAAATGTAAAAAAAACTAAATGAATAGTTTTACAAAACGCAGCAAAAACTGCACATGTGGGACACCCAACATTAGAGGTGATTTATTCTTCCAAGCAAATCTACTTTTAAACACTGGTACTGACTAGTATTCCATTGTTTCGTTTCTGCCTCAGTTTGTCTCCCTCACTCAGCTAGTGTGACCCCCAGTGCTTACGAAGAGGGGCAGGGAAGGAGAAAGCAAGGATGCTGTGCAGGTGCCCGATGTCCTTTTTATCGGCCGATTATGGAATTGGTTGTTATGTCTCCAGCGGCTAGCAAGTTGTAATGGTGCACAATGAAAATCTGTCGGTTTGTGTAACTAAAAGGCAGGGTTGAGCCACCTGCTGGCTTGTATACAATTTTTGTGCAATTTTTAGCCCTTTTGTCAAGGCACCCCTGAAGGAGCCTAAAGGCACCATGATTCAGGTCTAATACTTATCCTGGCTTAATAACTTGGAAAGCATTGAAACCTTTGATCATCACAACAGCCAGCCAAGTAAGTAACTTTTTTTTTGTAAATTTCAGGAACAAGATCCTCAGATTTTAAGTTACATTTCAAATGTATTTGGTAACAAACCAGGGATGGAATGTCTACAATGGGATTGGTGAACTGGATCAACAATCAGTATTCTATGTTTTGTGGAATTGCCATTGCAGTTTAAACACTTCTTGTTATGTCTGTTACTACATTACCTCAAGACTTACAGATTTGTTTTTGTTTGTATGGTGTCCAAAACCATTTGCCCTAATATCCTAACGGTTTTATGCAGTTGTATTTTCAAATGGCTCTTCTCTTCCGCAGGTCAAGTCAAAGCGTCCACCTTTATATTTGCCTTTGTGGCTGACACTTGTATCGTGGGTTTTCTATTCTGCTTTGCATTCCTTACTTTTCATCTCATTCTTCTAATCCATGGAGCTACTACAAAAGAATGGTTTAGTGGTCATGCAGCCAATTATGATAATGGATGGAAGAAAAATTTTAAGCACTTCTTGGGAGAAAGATGGTACTTAGTTTGGTTATCACCTTGGATACAATCAAGATTGCCTGGAGATGGTATCCATTTTGAACTCTGGCATCTCTCTACTACCGTACCATCCATGAAGTCTACCCAATAGCTTGTGTGAAATATGTGTGAACACCCAGCTCTTCCATTGTTAGGTATGTAATTCAAGTCTTTTAACTTTAAATCTCAGTTTTCCACAGGGAATGTAAATGTTTTCTGATTTAATGTATGAAAAGAACCAATTTTCTTTTCTTTTCAAAGCCACTTTGCTTTCAGAGATCAAGTCCTGCACAGAAATTGTTAAAGGCTAAGTTCACTTTTAGTAAATAAATAAATGCACATGATTTTGCTGTTTGTGAATTTTTTTCTTCAGGTGCCTGCAGCAGTTACTGAACTGCAGGAAGTGTTGGTGGAGTATGATGGCGCTGATCAGCATAGTCCATTGACAACTTTAAGTTTGTCTGCCACAGTGGCAGACAGGACTTGCAGTTGTGTGTTTTTTTTTTTTTTTTTTTTTTTTTTTTTTATTCACAGATTCCTGTGAATGAATGCAGCTGTGTGGGTGGAGTCTCGCACAACTGAGCTGTTTTCAAAATTTGACAGCGGGGTGGGGAGAGGATACCCGGCCTTCTGTTGTATGGGGAAAGTGCTCTGGGTGTGAGGGGGATGTTACATGTTACACCACAAATACAGGTGTAACATGTTGGTAAGGGTGAACCATCTTTTTTGACTATGCAACAAAAGAGCTGATGGCATATGACCACTATTAAATCACATACTTTTTACAGGAGCAGAGATAATTAAGCCAGAGTAAAGAAAGCAGGCACTTACTTTACACTGAACAATATGGTAGTGTGACAAGAGCACCCCTACCTGAAAAAAAGAAGGTTACTAAGAGATCCACGCGGAGTAATATGGATTCAAAAATTACAGGCAATACTTTATTTGATCACATAGATCATAAGGAGGTTAAACATGAGCACGGTGAACATGTCAAGCAAATAAAATCATTTTAAAAGCACTTAGCGTCTTCATATCAGGGTCATTTAGGCAAGTAGAGTACCATATAAGGCAATATACGGTAATGGTGAGGTTTTGATCCTAGGTTTCCATGAATTTCCAGCTTGTATTAGAGTGAACCATAGATTCAGCAAATATGTTCCCAATATAAGTCAGGTTGTGTAGAGTAGCCTCCTGATGTATGGAAGCTGGAACACAAAAATACACAAAAAATGTATGAAAATATAGGAGCTGAATCACATCCAGGCCTCACCAAGCCTCCCTCTACAGTAATTAGTGGACACCTTCATTACCTTCTTAGTTGTGAAACTGTCATACCCGCTTCTCAAATGTAGGGACTTCCTGGATAGCCACCCCAAGTGAAACACAGTCCACAGTACCAAATGATTCTGGGGATATATATATAAAATTATTGTATAGAACACAGGCATCAAGTGAAACCCTGAAAGCAAAAAACAAAGTATGGGTATATTACCATCAATAGAGATCAAGAGGACTCCCGTCGACTTGAAATAGGATCAGGTCCTTGATGCTTGTTCAAAGGTGCATATGGGGGTGGGAAGCCAGGTAGTCACAGTACGTAGATTCCAAACACATATATTGTGTATATAGCAGGCCGTGAATACCTGAGTCTGTATACCCACTGAAGGGTTTCCAAAAATTACTCAATCTAAGAAAATTGAAGCGGTTTGAATAGGATATGGCTTTGTCACAGCATACAATGCCTAAATAGGATAGCATATAAGTATATATATGTATATATTATCCTCTAAAGAGGATTTCCAAAAAATTCCCCGAATATACAGGGTAGATTAGGCCCGTATAACATACCCTCTTAGCTCCAGATATACTCTATAAATCTACACAGCTGTAAGCTTAAATAACTTGCCACCAGTGGAAGGTATATTCCCCTAGGGGATTGCCGTTTGCGAACCGCTGTAGTAGTAGACTTTATGGTAGTTTTCAGAGGGCCTCGTGCCTTCCTAGAAAGGAGCTGTGACACCGCGTTCCTTCCCACCTCGTGGGCGCCGCACCCTATGAAGACGCCGAGCGTAGTGATGTCATTACGTTGACGCGTTTCGTCCGCCAATCACCGCAGACTTCGTCAGAACTGGGAGGGGACTTCAATCCTTTGCCTTATATGGTGCACTAATTGCATACCAAAGAGTCTCCACCTCGCCATCTTGTGTTGAAAGAGTATCACTACATTCGAAAGATCCAAAGTGAATTAAAACACATATATTAAATTTAAATTGACTGCTGGCAATAAAAAGGGGGGACCATATTATTGTAAATCAGATCATCTTTAAAGAGGATAATGGAAAGGAATTTTTTATTATAATTCAAAAAGGGGGAGACATCAAGAGAGGATTCAATTTCCTAATTTTAGTATTGATCTAGTTATTATAAGAATTCAATATGTAGTGGGAATAGGAAGACTCACATGGTTAGATTCATACTTTATCCGGATAGATCCATATTTCACTCCCTATATAATACCCCAGTTTAGATTATAGCTCAGGGTATATTAGAGGTTCCAAGAAATTCAATTCAAAAAAACTCCAAAGTTGAGTTCTGTATTCAGTCCGTATGGGACAAGTGCACCCAGGGTATAGATCCAGAATTTTTCTCTTTGTAGGAGGACTTTATCAAAGTCCCCCCGACGAGCTGAAATATTAAGCAAGAAAATCCCTTTCACTTTTAGACCTTCTGTTTTACCCCCGTGTACTTCTTTAAAGTGTTGTGCCAGTGGGTTCTCTTTTTCTCCCTTTCTTACATTCCTATTTTTCATTTCTAATGTCTCTCAAGTGTTCACCAATCCTAGTCCTGAGATTCCTTTTTTTTTTTCCTTTTGGGGGCTCTCCCCTACCACTCTTGCTATCTGTGGATTTTGAGTTAATAAATACCAATGAGAGTCCAGGGCCTTCTTGACTTCATCCCATTGTTGTCCAAATTTAGTTATGAATCTTACCGGTTGATTTACCGAGTTCGCCCCTGGCTTTGATTTTGGTTTATTTATAAGCTCCTCTCTTGTTCTACCAAGAGCTCTTCTTTTTGCTCTTCTTAGGGTTCTATGTGAGTAACCTCTTTCCCTAAACCTCTTGTAGAGCTGAATAGATTCATTTCTATATTCAGCTTCTTCTGTACAGTTCCTTTTTATTCTCTGAAACTGGCCAATGGGTATTCCCTGTTTTAAGCTCCTTGGATGGTAGCTATTAGCATGTAAAAGTGTATTGGCCGCTGTTTCCTTTCTAAACGTTTTAGTGACTAGTTTATTTTCATAAATTGAGATTGATAAATCCAAGAATGTTATTACCTCTCTATCTGCTGTATAAGTAAGTTTGATATTCCTATCGTTATCATTTAGGAATTCCATAATTATTTTTAACTCATCTATACCTCCATCCCAGACCATCAGGACATCATCAATATATCGCAACCATTTTATTGCGTGTTGCTTATAGGGAGTGGAGGGATAAACCAACTCCTCTTCCCATAAGCCTAGATGTAAGCATGCAAATGCCGGGGCCCAGGGTGCTCCCATGGAGGTACCACATATTTGCTGGTAGAAGGAACCCAGGAACTGAAAACAGTTATGGGTCAACATAAAATCCAGCAAGTCCAATATAAATTCATTTTGAGCCTCCATTTCAGGGAAATATGTCTCCAAAAAGTAGGCCACAGCTCTCCGTCCCCAGACGTGTGGAATAGAGGTATATAATGATTCCACATCAATTCCCACCAGAAGTGCACCCTTAGGTACTCTTACATTTAAAATCTTTTTCAGTACATCTCCCGTATCCCTTACATAGGATCTAAGTTCCAAGACCAGATCCTTAATTAGATCATCTACAAATCTACCTATTGGTTCCAGCGGACCACTGATAGCAGATACTATAGGGCGTCCCGGTGGTTGAGTAGGATTTTTATGTATTTTTGGGATTACATAAAAGGTGGGGATGTTATAGACATCAACTGTCAGCATGTCGCATTCCTGTTTAGTTAGTAAGTTTACTTCACGTGCCAGTTCCACTTTTTTATTTAGGGCAACTACGAGTTTGGGGAAAGGATTATTATGTAGTTTACGATATGTATCCGGACTCTTCAACTGTCTAAGTACCTCCTTTTCATATTCCACACTCTCTAGTAATACTACATTTCCCCCTTTTTATCACTTTTTTTAATCACAATATTTTTAGCATTCTTAAGTTCCCTAAGAGCTATTCTTTCAGCTTTAGTCAGGTTATCAACCATTCCTCATTGTCCAGTCTATTTTTCCAAGGTCATCATGTACTAGATCTAGAAAAGTACTTAGCCATTTATTTTCCCTAATATTAGGCATTCTTCTAGATGGAGTTTTAAGTCTAGTGTGTCTTTTCCACTTATTTGAGACATCCACCTCCCCAGTCTCACCACTTATGGGAGTCTCCTCAAGAAGACTAATAAGGTCACTTAATGCCTGTTGTTCCCTCTCTGAGTTAAGGTCACAGGGATTTAAGTTCTTCTCTAGATAGATATGGAATTCTTAAAAGGATCTTTCTCAGAAATAGATTTAGATCTTTATAGACCTCAAACAGGTCCATTTTGTCCGTAGGAGAAAAGGTCAAGCCTCTCCGTAGTAAATCATAATGTCTTTTTTTCAACGCAAACTTGGAGAGATTTATTACCTTAAGATCCTTGGTTCCCTCCTGTAGGTTAATCTAGAGGTTAATCGAGGTGGGAAGGAACGGCGGTGTCGCAGCTCCTTGCTAGGAAGGCACGAGGCCCTCTGAAAACTACCATAAAGTCTACTACTACAGCGGTTCGCAAACGGCAATCCCCTAGGGGAATATA